CTAATATCATCCTCGTGCAGTGGCAGATTTGGGTGTCAGCACTTGTACTGCTCGTGGAAAAGGTTGTGTCATTACAGGTCTAAAGCCCAGGGCTGTGTACACCTTTTAACTTGATCTGCATGGTCCGGTCTTAAACTATTTTTGACTTTTATGATGGATTTCTTATGCAGCAATTCTAATCTTTTTGTTAAATTTCTACGAAGTTTTTATCAGGAAGGTCTCTTGCCAGTTCTGAATGAAATAATCTCCTGTGGGAAGTAGTGTATTAGGAGGCAATAGTGGAAAAGGAGATTTAGGACTCTTAGTAAGGAAATGTAGAAATATACTATGAAATATATTAATCTTTTACTGGCATATGTTACAAATCCACACGTCTGATGTTCTGGGAGGTCCTGGGGTGATGTACCATAGTACAATGCCCCACTTTTACCAGTGCTTAAAGGCTGAAATTCATTTTGTCAGGTGAAAGAAAGAACAGAGAAAAAAAGATTTTTGATCATACTGTCAGCTTCGTGTCCTGTGGAGCAGATTTAAAGAAGAGAGAAAATGTTCCTGCCCCAGAGATCTCGGCAGATGGTTACATTTTTGGCAATTCTTTTTTTTGCCTGTTTTGCAACATGTCAAGACACTGAAAAGTAAGCAATATCATCCTTTTACTTAATGTCATTAGAAGTCTGCTTGCCTTTGATTTAATGGACTGTATTTTCCACTGCTGTCATTTACACCAGGGGATAGTGGAAGGAAAATTCTGTACATTTGATATGGCAACATTTTACATCGCTCTCTACGCAGTATAAAATTAGACCAATTGCGTTTTTAGATGCGCAACATATACCAGGTCTCAGTTGATGCTTTTAAACACAGTGCAGCAAACCACGTAAGGATGTTCAACGCAAGCTATGGAAATGTCACGTACTAAAATTCTGTATTTAGGTTCCCATTCAGATCCAAATCTGCAGTGGGAGCCTATAGCTGCAGTTAGATGTCATCTAAAGAGCATGAAATCCAAAAATATTTGCACCCTAGAATTAGCCTGTCCTCCTGAGTCAATATGTGGCTTGAAATTGTTGGTGTATCTGAAGAAAATAAGGATTTGTTTTCATTTCATGGACACCACTGATTTCAGTTAAATTACTTCCAACATACAACTCTAGAAGGAAAGAAACAAACACAACAATCCTAGAGCACTAAGGTTATAAAAAGGGAGTTTTATTCTGGTATTTAAGCCTCTGAAAAGAACTCAAATTTGGGAAAGATCAAATCTCTGTAAGAGCTCTTTAAGCTTGCTAAGGTCACTTTGTCACTGTCTCCCCAGTTTGCCTTTTTTTTTTTTTAAATTATTTTATTGTTTAAAAAAAAAGGAGATACAAGGTATACCTTTTGAGAATGGCAGAGTTTTTCAGCTTCCCGTCCTCAGGAACTGTCTGTCTGGCTGCCTGACGGGCTGCCCGAGCTAGCCTGCCCAGGAGTGCTCACGCTGCGGGCTCTGCAAGGGCCAGGCTGGCCGCGGGCACCAGCGCTCCTGTCCTCCACATCACGTGTGGACACCACCAATGCTCCCTCCTCAGCTTAGAGAAACATCCAAGATTGATGGGTGCAAATCAGCCACGTTATAAATAGGAGCCCAGATCCGGGTGTGCTCGGTTCCTAACTAACTCTTTCTTCCCTTTGCAGTAAAAGAGCAGTGACGGAGCATCAGCTCATGCATGACAAGGGGAGGGCATTTCAAGGGCTGAAGCGCCTGATGTGGCTCCACAATGCCCTAGGTAGCGTGCACACAGCCAGCAGCAGGGATATTTCGCTTTCAAATACCATGTGGGAGCCACAGAAGAGCCAAGATCCCTCAGATCTCTACAGCAGCACCAACAGAGACGACACTTCAAGCCTGCTGAAGCAGCTACTGGAACTGACGGAAAAAGAGCAGGGCTTCCCTCCGCTAAAGCAGCTGGATTTGATGCAGTATGTGAAGACCGCAAAGAATAACTGGAACCCGCAAGACCTTTTCAACCTCCTTCAAATCAAAGAGGTGGATAGAAAGAGAAATCCTAACACCCGGCCACAGAATTCTTCCCACTAGCCTCAGTCCAGCTCAGTCCATCCATTGCTTTACACGTGTTGTAAGGAAAAGCTCTAGCACAAAGGTGAATCGCAAAAGAAAAATAATATTAATTTGTTCCATTGCTCCTAAATGTTGAATAAATACCCTTGTAGGGACCTAGGTTTGCTCCCTAGCAGGCAGTCTGAGTACTGTGATTGTGAGACAAAGTCATTTGTCACAGGCCAGAAACCTCCCTTTCCATGGCAGGGCCCTCCTGTCACTGCTGTCTTAGGGCTGTGGCAGCTCTTTGTAGCTCTTGTCACCCACACGTAGCAGGAAGTTTGGTTCATTAATCTGCGTATTCACAGGCTCACTTATAGTTTAATGTTTTCACTCATGAAGAAGCAGTTACCTCCTAATACAGATTCTATTTCACACCTTCCTGCAGTTCTGCCCGGCTCTGCAGTAGGAATGACTTCCCTTGTATTTTAGGTCCAAATGTTTATTTTCCCCTGCTTCTCCAGCACAGAGAATGGTTTAAGTCTCTCAAGTTTTCCTTTAGGGTGGCAAACTTTTGCCAGACCACAGAGGTAGAGGTTGGCAATGATCCCCACCCTCCCAGCCAAAGCCCCTGACATTCACCTTTGTCTGCTGGTGGAAGAGATGAGAATCATCTTCCAGAGTCCATATTTGAGCCTTTTGTTTCAGGGCTTCCTACCTTTCCTTTGTTCATGTGAAATCCTCTCCAAGAGCTCCCACAGCATATCAAGCTTTCTCAGCAGAAAACCAGCTTCATGAGGCTGCCTGTGTTCCCTGAAAGAGGTAGCACATGATTTTGCTATTCACCTTTAGTATTAAACTGACCAGCTCTGCCTAAGCAAAGCAAGGTCCAGTTTAATTGCAAAATTAGGCTTTCAGAAATTAAATGTCATGTGTTACAAATATATCAGCATTTCCATCACGTAGGGACTATACATGCCGTTTTAAATCCTGAAATGTCTCTGTTGCTGATAGACTTCAACTGCATGTTCAGAAGGTATTTGATTAAACCCCAGGAACTCCTTGATGTTAATAATAAAACCCCTTTTCAGCCTCTGAATTGCACTTGCTCTTTTTTTTTTTTTTTTGTAGAAATGTAGATAAAATGAAGCAAAAGCCTCTTTTGCCAGCATCTTCACATATTTGAGACGAGTACAGAATCACATTTTTTTTTTGTCATGCCATTCCTCAGTTTCCCCATTAAGATTCTCAATCAAACCATTACTGAAACAGATGGTTTGCGATGCTCCTGAAAAGCCGAGAGGGCTGTGATGCCCATGGATTGTGCTGCCCCAGCGATGTCTTTGCTGAGCTGGGATGTGGGAGTCCTTCCTCCCCCCAGGCCTACCTCTGGGCTGGGCCGGGCCCAACCTCAGAGCTGGGGGCTGAAACCCAGGGGAACCTGGCTGTGAAAAGCTCCAACCTCTGAGGAATTGCCGTGTCCTGCTCAGCACCCTCTGCCCTCGCAGAGGGGGTGTCCCCTCTGCCTGAGGGGCCGTTTCCAGAGCTTTGGGGAGGCCGAGGTGACCACCGGTGTCTCGGTGGCACCCGACCCTGGATATGCCTCACTCCTGTGGTCACCACCGGGTAACCCAATGCGTGTCACCCCTCTGGGGGCGCGGAAAAAAACCCACCTCCCCTCCACCGCGGGCGGGACAGCGAGGCGAAGCTGTGCACTTGCAGGTCACCACGCCATTGTGGGGAGGAGGGAAGGAAGCAGGACAGGGCTCCTCAGGCCTGCAGGAGCACTGCGGGCAGGCTGGCACCCTGCTGCTTGACGCACTCGTAACTCTGGCTGGACTCAACAGAGATCCCGAAGGGCTGATTTGAAATAAAGAGCGGAGATGTTACCGCCCGCCCCTCCCGCCATAGCTCGGCCCGCACCCGCCTGCCCGCAGCCCACCGCGCATGCGCGGTGGGGCGCACCGCCGCGCCCCTCGGGCTGGCGCGAAGCCCCCACACGCACGCGCGGCCGGCGGGAGAGGGCGGGGCGAGGCGGCCCCGCCCCGCGGGGAGAGGCGGGGCCGGGCGGATGGTGGCGCATGCGCGCTGCCGTAGCGGTCCCCGGGGTGGCGGGGGGGGGGTGTTCGTCCCGTCCGGGTCGCTGTCCGGGTGCGTGGGGGGGGGCGGCGGCAGCGGCGCGGGGGCTCCGGTCACGTCCTCCCGCCCGCCAGCTCCGTCCCGCCTCTCCGCAGCCGCTTCGCCTGGCTCGCTCGGCGCCGGGACCCCGCCGTCGCCTTCAGCTCCTCGCCGCCCCCCTCCGGGGCGGGGGGGGGGGGGTGGCGGTGTGTGTGTGAGCGCGCGCTCCGGTAAGATGCTCCCGCTTCGTTGCCACGGCGACCCTTGTGCTCCCCCCCCCCCCCCCCCATGCTCCCCATCCCCTCCCCACCTTCCTCCCTCCCCCCGGAGCACTTTGCCGCTCCCGGGCGGCGGGAGCAGGGGGCGGCCCCCCCGAAACCCCCGGGTCCAGTGGGGCTGGGGTCGGGGTTCCTGCAGCGGCGAGGTGTCCCCAACCCAGGGGTGGCCGCGCTGCGGGCCCGGGGGCGGCGAGAGCACCCTCCCCCCCCCCCTCGGCTGGGGGGCTCGGGTCCCCTTTGTCCGCTGCCGGTGACGCTGCCAGGGCCGCGGAGCCGCCGCCCCCCCGGGGCTGCATCACCCCCGGCCGGCTCCGCTCCAGCCCCGGCGCCGGGAGCATCCTGCCCCCTCACCATCCCACCGCCGCGGTGGGTGTGGGCTGGCTCCGAGCGCTGGTCCCAGCAGAAAGGGGACCCGAGCACTAACAGGTGCTTTAGCACCTTCCAGCCGGTTACTTTTCTTTTTTCTTCCCCCCGTTTTTTTTTTTTTTTTTTTTTTTTTTTTCCCCCCTCTCTGAACCCTCTCGTAACCTGCTTCTGTCGGGCAGTTTTCCTACTCTGTTCTCTAGGAAGTGAAAACCAGACCCACGCCTGTCACACCTACCTTCTCGCAGCGCGCAGGGATGTAACCTGCCGTCTCCTCGGGGCTGTGCGGAGGACGTGACCTGCCACTCGGGTGGTGTCACTCGGGGCTGCTCCGCCATAAAGACCTAGTTCCCTAGCTCCATAGATGAGTTCCATCTCAAAAAACATACAGCTGCAGGTTCTTACTGGTTCCCACGTTGTTATCTTTTCCGGGAATGCACCTGTAAATGCAGCAAACAAAACACTTGGTGTCTGTAAAGGCACAGTAAGGATGCCTTGTAAAGGTCAGCAAAAAAGTAAACAGAAAAGAGTAACTTGTAAAATGTTGCCAGCGCCCAGGCATTGTAAAAAGGGGAAGTGTGTGTGTCCAACCTATATTTGTGTGCAATTTCTAGTAATAGTTGCAAAACTCAGTTACCTTGTGATCAGGAGAACCAGACTGAGGTGGTTTTTCACCTTAAATCTTTGCTTTTTAATGCATTTGAGAAAGCAGAGCTGGTTGTCAAATGTGCCCCGAAACTGTGCTACTGGTTGAAAGTAGCATACTCTGATAGATTTATTTTTTAAGAGAATCCAGTATGTAGAAGTAGAATACTTATACTAGGTGTGTTTTCTTTTTTTTTTTTTTTTTTTAAAAACTACAACTTGTTCAAAGGCAGCGATCCTTGGGATTTTGCCAGATTTCTGTGTGAAAGCATCTAGTAAAAGTGAGAGTGCTTAAAAGCAACTAAATGCCTTTTTTTCTCCCTCCTCAGTTGCTCAGTTGTTGGGATGGTTTTCAGGATTTTGACAAATTTCACAGCAGAAGAGACAGCAGAAACAGATGGACTTATTTCTGCAAGGGTCATAGGAAGAAGAACTTCTGGATTAGATGTTTCAGTGTGATATTTCTGAATTTTTAACATTTAGTAAAGGTAGAATATATTGGGAGATATAAACGTTTGCAGTACTGCCTGAAATTGTGGTTTCTGAGGCTTCGTGTTTCTTAAGTTTCCTTCCCTCTTATTTTCAGATCAAAAATGTTCAAAACAGGAAGTTTGACTTGTACCTTTTATTTTGTAAGACTTTTGCCTACTTAGTCTTAGTTTAGACAACTGGGCTGTTGGCATTTGTGGTTAAAATCTTAATTCTGTGATTTGGCATCACTTAATTGATTGCAGCTCTAGTTTGAAGGTTATTTGTCATTTATAATGTTAAAGGTTTCCTCCTTTTTTCTTTCTTAATAGCCATGGCAATGACAGGCCCAACACCCTGCTCGTCCATGAGTAATCACACCAAGGAGCGAGTTACGATGACAAAAGTGACATTAGAAAATTTCTACAGCAATCTTATCGCACAGCACGAGGAACGAGAGATGAGGTAAAAAAATCTTTCTTTCTTCCTTTCCAGAGCGGCTAAGAGCCAAAAATATATATTAACTGCATTTAGTTTTCTGGAGCCAAAGCAAATATTAGACCATCTTTGCTGAGCGGGTACTTCAGCTCCTGAGATGGGCACCTGGATGGGGCTTGGCACGAGCATCTGCAGGCGGCTGCTGAATCCTGCGGTAGTGTAGGCTGGAGCTTTTTGAGTTCCTTAAACAAATTGACATGTGCTTGCAAATGCAAAAGTGATATGACTGTTACCAAATTTTAAAGAAATATGTATTTGTTTATGCAACTAAGTAGAAACTGACTTTGGGATGTGCTCGGGGTGATTCAAGCACAATTCTGAAGTAGAAAGCCAATATTTACAAATGTTTCTCCTTCCTATGTCTGTTCTGTTGCCTCTTCCCATTTAATGTCCCTGATTGTAATATTTACAACTTATTCTAGAGCATCAGTTTCAGTTTGGATTATATAATGTGTGATCAAGTCATCTGATAAAGGAAGATAATCTTTTCAAAGATGATGAGGGGTTGCTCTAAGGACTGTCACTTAATGCTAACTTCTTGTCTGTGAGTCAGCTATACCTATGGCATCTCCTTAAATATATCAGTTAAAATATAACAAGCAATTTAACTGAGAAGTATTATTTTTACTTTCCTCTGGCTGGAACCCTCTAATTTGCTGAATACCCTCAAGCTGTAGCACTGGGACTTCTGATGTTCTCCCAACTTGCCATGCAGTCTATAATCAGAATTTTCAAAATGGTTTAATGTTCGTTTGCTTATGGACTTGCTGCCAAAAACCTAACTAGATCCGGGAGGAATGCCTGCTAATGACAATAACTGTAGAAATCAGGAAGCAGTTTAGAAATAAATACTAAGTTGCATACATGTTTTCTTCAAAGCTTCAAATTAGTAATGAGAGATTGAGGTCTAATCCAGACAGAAGATATCACTGATTTAATTCCTTTCTTTCTCTTTGCATAGCTCTTGTGTTTTATTATGAGTGCTATTGTCTACTTCCAAAACCTCAATGACAGGGTTTTTTCTGTTTAGGATCAAGACTTTGTTTGAACAGACATACTGGACTTTACAAGTTATGTGCTTTTTTTAACAACAGACGTGTCTGTGGGTGTGCAATTTGGGATCTAAATGGTGTTGACAAAATGTACACTGAAGTGCAGATAGCACCTATTAAGGATATTTGGGGGAATTTCAGCATTGCTTGGTCATGCTGAGCTATTTAATTCTGCGTATTGCAGCAGTTGTCTTGCTACTGGAGTCACTGCTTTGAGTGTGAAATGAGATGACAGGACAGGGCTCACTGGGTACTTAATAAGGGCAAAGCAATTTAAATGTGCCTGATTGTGGAAGCGATAACCTAAAATATTATCACGTTGCAGCAGCTGCGTAGTGGTACAGGAGACCGGAAGAGGATCTTGCGAAGAATGACTTGCATAAAAAGAAGGAGTTTTTTAGTACACTTGTAACGTTACACCAATAAAAATACACAGGGAGAGAAAAAAATACCCTAAAACACCTACCCCAGTTCAGCCAGCTATTAATGTGATGGGTGTTGGGGAAAAAGTTCCCAGAGGGTAATCATTACAAACGTCCCCTGAAGCCATCCCACCTCTGAAGTCTTACTTCATTTTTTTCTTTTCTCCCAAATAACCATTTTTCACTAAGGCTGTAAATATTTCTGATTCTTTAAGGGGAAGAACGTGTACAAACATGTTTCTACTTCCCAAATATTTAGAGTATCTTGGGTATTGGGAAATAGAAAGTAACTTTTCTCATTTTGCATGTGATGAGTTTGAGATGCAGAGAAATTACAGATCTACAGAAATTACAGAAATCTACAGATGCATAACCACAGATGTGTTTACATAGCCAATTCTCCCTGGAATAAGTGAGACTTTGGTGTTTAAATATTTATTATGTCTCTGGCCTTAAGTGACCTGCCCATCTCTCAAAGAGAGAGACAAGAATTGAACCCAGATCTCCTCAATCTACATTCATATACAATGAAAACATACACTTGAATAAGATGTGAAACTAGAGACAGGTTTAGGTTGTCAAAATTAGAGAGGACAAGCCTAGAATGATAAAGCTCTAATGTGAGATTAATTGTGAAGAATCTAATGTCTGAGTTTCCCTTTTATATCATTTACACTTGTTACTTGCTGGCATTACATCCTCCTTTCACAGCAAGCATAGACCAGAAGTGTTGGATATGTGCATGGTGATTAAAAACCAGCATTAATGAGTCAACCTTTATTTTTCTAATTTGTCTCTGCTATAGACAAAAGAAGCTAGAACAAATGATGGAAGAAGAAGGCTTAAAAGATGAAGAGGTAATGAATATGGGGAAATTATCTTAATGGTTAAATACAGGTGATTTTCTATAAATGGAGATCTGAAAGCTTTACTTGGAATTGCTGTGATCTCTATGGAGCCCACCTGCGGAACTCACTGTGTTTTTTGTCTTCACTAAACACCAGAAAAGAATCAGGAGGTCTGCACATGCACAAAAGGAAACAGAGTTTCTTCGCCTAAAGAGAACAAGGCTTGGTTTGGAAGACTTTGAGTCTTTAAAAGTAATAGGCAGAGGAGCATTTGGAGAGGTAAGTCCAAAAAAGACAACTAAACGTGTTTTTAAATGGCACTGGTATTTGTTAAAGACTTGCATAGTTTATAAAAGTGAAAGACAGTTGTTGTAATGACTGCAGATTGATTTTAGTTTGTCATGTGCATCTGTGTCTATGCCTAATAAATGCTGGTTTAAAAATATAATGTGCTTTAAAGGAACATGAATGCTGTTGAAAAGGGCGTGGGGGGGCAAGGTAAATACAAGTTTGGCAGAGTACTGTACTGGTGACCTCCTGGGGCTGGCCTTGCAGAGCAGGAGAGCTGGGGGCCGCTCGCAGCGGTCTCTTCTGGAGGCCTTCCTCAGGGAAGGTGGCTTTGGATTTAGCTGCTTTAGGTGTATGGTTGCTCAGCGTGTCATCTCTGTAAAAATTCTCCAATCTCTTAGAATTCGCAGAACTTGTTTGCCATTACAGTGCACTATGTACCGCTTTTTTGTTTTTATAATCTGGTATGATTTCATTAAATGGAAACCAAGGGCTTGGTACCCAAATTTGTCAGGAGTTGTGGTGATAATTCTGTATTTGACTCAAATTTTTGCATATTTCCTAGGTGCGACTTGTCCAGAAGAAAGATACAGGGCATGTTTATGCAATGAAAATACTGCGTAAAGCTGATATGCTTGAAAAAGAGCAGGTGAATAGCCACCTTGAGTAGCAATGCTACCATCCATGTTTTAGATGACTTTGGGAGGTAATTGTGATGTGTAGAGAGGAGTAATAGGCATCTGTGGTCTAGGTTTACTAGCTAAAAAAATTATGTGGGGTTTTTTCCTCATATTTTATGGAGGAAATAGGCCAGAAAAATCTTGTATGAATTCATAAGGACCTGTCTTCTAGTGGGCTCTTTCAAGTTGTTTTTTTTTGTTGTTTTTCTTTTTTTTTTTTTTTTTTCAAACATTCTTTGTAATAATGCAAAAGTTTGAAGAATATATATAGAGTTACAGTAGAAGTTACAAGCTATTGTATGTACTGAGTGCTCAGAACAGCCTTTCCAACCACCCCTGATGCCTTGCTTAGTCTTGATGGGAGCTGCAATTGTAACACTCTTTTCTAAGAGGCTCTTCAGTCTGAAGTGAGGTAGGACTGAACTTGATTTCTACTTGAAAACGTGGGAAGTGGAGCATTTTTCTAAGGAGTAGGTTTGTCTTTCTCCGGTGAAAGAGAAAGATGCTTCTATGTACCTGATTTATGTTCCTCCTCCTCATTTTATAATGATGTATGTTACACATGCACATGTGCAAATGATTCAGTATAGATGTCAAGATGAGAGTTTTACTGCATTTCTGATTTATGGAATCAGATATAAATATCAAAGTGACATGACTGCTGGAATTCTGACTCAGAGACATAAAGTAGCAGCATTTAACGTTTTTAAGGCTTTCCTCTGCTAGTACTTCTGGGAATATAATGGTCTGAGAAAATAATTTCTTCAGCACTGGGATGAATCTAGGAAGCACTCTGTGTCTGTGTTCATAAAATGAGGAACTCGTTTCCATTTCTGAAAGTACTTGTTTAAAAACCAAACAGCAGTGTGTTCGCACACAAGCTTTATGCAGCACAGCTAAATTAGTGCTTTGGTCTAAATCTGTAGGACTGGGCTGAAGCCATATCATAAGGCGTGCTAACTGTTTAGAGAAGAGCTAGGCTTTTAGACATCTAATTGTTAGATGTACAAAAATGTCTCATTTTTTTACAAAAATATAAGATTAACCTGTTTTTATAATCAACCATATGTTTCTCCTCCTGAATCTTCCCACAGTAATAAATTATGTTTTGGAGTGGTCTGTTATCCAAGCAGTTCTAAGATAAGTGTTTTCATAGTGTCCCATATCACTTGTATAGTTCTGATTTGAAGGGGACCCAAATGCCATAAAATTTGAAAGAATAAAAATGTAAATGTGAGTTATCTTTCTGTACGGAACCTTGTTGTTCAGGAGGGTGGTTTAAATTTCTGTAGTTTGAATTTTTGCTTAAAGGCATGAGATTAATGCTCTCTTGCCCTCCTACATATGTCTCAGTTTATGGCAGCAGAAGTCACACAGTAAGTGTAAGTGTCCAAAGGCAAAAGTCCCCATAAACTTTCCAGTGGAAACTTTTGAATGTAAAAGGGTCTTTCACATCTTCATGCTGAGGAGTAAAATAGAGTTGGTGTCCAATGGGATTTACCAGATAGGAGAAAAAAAAAACCCCAAACCAACCACCATACATTCTGGAAAAATATAGCTGTTTAATGAAAGCTTCTCACCTTTTTGCTGTCAGAAGCATGACTTCTGGATTTGATTTTGAACATGTTAAGCTGTTTTAATTACCTGAAAATATTGAGGGGTGTAATTATTGAAGTTTTGATGGTGATTCTGCCTTTGTGCAGAAGTTTGACTGCTGTCTTTTCAACATTTGATGCTTTTCAATATAATACTTGAATTGTCTGTGAAATAAATGCATGTAATAAAACACAGACTTGTAATTACTCAGATGCATATGTGTATCTCCAGGTTGGCCATATTCGTGCAGAGCGGGACATTCTAGTGGAGGCAGACAGTTTGTGGGTTGTGAAAATGTTCTATAGTTTTCAGGACAAGTTAAACCTCTACCTTATCATGGAGTTCCTGCCTGGAGGTAACTACCTGGAATCAAAAGGCTGCTTTCCTTTTGTTTGTGGGTTTCTAACTTAATTACAAATGTCTGGGATGAGAATGTATGTGGTTACTATACAGTGGTGTTTGTACTGAGCGTGACTTTGTGAGGAAACAAGTCATTGTGAAGCTTTCTGCTTTTAGGAGTTAGGGTACTGAGGTTTTTGGGTCAGACTGAGGTTATCTGCTTGGGTCTTCTATCTGCAGATGTTTGAAACTTGGCCCTAGTGTTCTGCTCGTTCTTATCCTTACTGTGCACTGGCTACCTATAGATCCATAACATAACCAGCTTTTGATTTTCTAACCTTTTGTTTTTGCTGGCTTGCAGCAAGAGTAACTCTTAAGGTGCTTTTGTCAGAGGTTGATGGTGTTTGTCCTTGAATGATAATGCTGCTGTAATTCACTTAAAGTTGTACTGAAAGCCTGTAATATATGTGACTAATGAAACCACAAGAATGCTTTCTGAGATGACACTGCACAAATGCAATCTGTTTTTTGTAACAGCTCTGTAGCTGAAAGTATCTATTTTAATCTGTGATTCAGATGTGTAGTCAAGAGTGGCAGTCCATAGCTGAGTCTCGTTTAGGGATGCTTCTATACTGCTATCTCATCTTTATGCTATTTAGCTGTCTCAGTTTAATGCAACTACAGTACAAGCCTTTCCACATATAGTGATACAAGGGAAAATAAAAGTTTGTCACAGAGGTGCTGGGGAACAGTATTATTTTATACAAAATCAGTTCAGATTTCCCGAGGTTTTAAATAGCTTAGCTCTTTTCTTTCTAAATGTCTTCAAAATTAGTGAGAGTGAAGTTTGTGCGCTCACTTGTTCACCTTTGATATTTGTGGGGGGGGCTTCTAGGTGATATGATGACACTGTTGATGAAAAAAGACACTCTAACAGAAGAAGAGACACAGTTCTATATAGCTGAGACCGTGCTAGCCATTGATTCTATTCATCAGCTGGGTTTTATCCATCGGGACATAAAACCCGACAACCTTCTTCTGGATAGCAAGGTATGTACTGACCGCTGGCCAGTGGCCGGGTGAACAGGGGTGTGGTAGATCTGGTCATTTTTAATACTGACTGAGCTACTGGGACATTGGTGAAAGAAGATGGTGCTGCTTTCTCAGCCTTGTTCCTTCTAGCTTTGGGGATATCTGCCATGTTGCTGGGGCAGAAAAAAGAGGCCAAGACAGACCCCTCCTCCATACCTCACTTAGGAGCAATTCTGACAGTTGTTTAAGCTATTTTTGGTTATTTCAGTTGCAGTTTAAAACACAGTTTCAGTTCTCCCCTCTTAGTCAAAGATGTTTCCTTTTGGTCACGCATCTGTTATGCTCACACTTGCGAACTATTGGGTAGATGATCAAATCAAACAGGAAAAATGTAGCTGTTCCATTAGCGAGACTGAAAATGGAGATGGTATATCCCTCGGAATCGGGACGTCTTTCTGAAGGCTGGCCAGGCTACCGATTGCTTCGAGGTGTTATTGCAGGGAGTTTGCAGAAAGCTTGATTGTTTCACTGTCCTCCTATTGCTCGCTACATGCTTGCTTTTAAAATTTAGCTTGTTTGGAAAAAGTTTGCCAGCAGTAAATAATTATACTTTATTACTAGTCAGCTAATAATGCAGTGTGGGAATTACTGATGTGATTCAGTACGTCTGCATCTAGATGTAGACAACTTCAGGACTTTGAAAAGGATGTACATTTTGGATCTAAAAATTGCACTTAGTCAGTGTGGTCGCACGTTACATGCTAGGACAGATCCGATCACTGAATTTAAGGTGTTTTTTCTTATCTGTTGGAGTCAATGCACAATCCAGGGACTACAGCTCCCTCTGGAGATGTTTGCTTTCACTCTGAAGCAGACAGGAGCTTGCAGGAGCAGAGGTTTCTTTAAGTAAATAGCTACTGGGCTTTCTCTCTGTAGTAGTGCTGAAAGTATTAATAGCTTGATTCTATGTTTACATCCAGTCTTAGGCTAAAACAAGGAATGCAAAAAGAGTGCATCTATTTATTATACAAAATAAAAGGAGGGGAAGAAGTAGAAAAGTTTATTTGCTCTGATAATGTCTTGTACTCTGGTGTTGGGTTTTTTTGTTTGTTTTTGTTTGTTTCTAGGGCCACGTGAAACTCTCAGATTTTGGTCTGTGTACTGGACTAAAGAAAGCTCACAGAACAGAATTTTATAGAAACTTGAACCATAGTCTTCCTAGTGACTTCAGTAAGTTATTTGGGTTCAGAAGGGTATCTGCATACTTGCTCTCGGTGCCTGACATAACTCGTTTCAGTGTGAGGGTAGAAAGCCACAGTGGGGGTTTAATCATCAACATTGTATCTTGAGGTGTAATTTTGATTTTTCTGTAAAACATCTTAATACTTACAGTTACTGTAATGTACAAAACGATTTTCATTTCCAGAAGTTTGTCTTTGCAGTAGACTCCGCTGTAGCCCTTCTTTGCATGTGTAATAAACCTCGAATGAAAACTCAGTGTGACTTGGTAGATGCTAGCTGTATCGTGTTAGTTAAATTAATCAGTGAGCACATGGTCTCTTTGAATATTCGGTAATTTTCTCAAGGGGAATAAGTGATCATGGAGTTAGAAAACCCCTGAAAGCAGGGATCACTAATGAATGGCTCTGTCACATTTTATCAGTATTACATAGGTTGGGACGTGGCTGATGGTTTAGGATCCTGAGGGATGTGTTTTCTGCAGCCATCTGTACCGGTGGGAGAGGTTACATCCCCTGCTTGGCTCTCGGCCGCCCGCTGCTGCTGCCACCCCCCGGATCCGCCGCTCAGCCGCCCCTTGGGTTGTGCCAGCCGAGCTGAGGGGGGCGAGGCGCAGGCAGGGTAATTAGTTCATCTCTGCTGATGTGGCTTATCCTCGGTGAGCTGAATTAAGGTGCGCTTCCACAAGTAGCTCCGGCTTCACCGTGGTGGTAAACCTGGGCCGTAGGGGCCAGTGATGAGCACCTGGGCACTGTAACCTCTTCCCAGGACAGCTGAACACGAAGGGGGCTGTCTGTTCAGGCCCTGGCTACCTTTTCTGTTGCTCTAAAGGAGGTTTGGGGGTAAAAATGGATGTTGAGTGGCCAGTAGAATTCAGTCACGTATATCCAAATCTCCTTTAGCTTTCCAGAACATGAATTCCAAAAGGAAAGCAGAGACTTGGAAGAGAAACAGACGGCAGCTGGTAAGCACGTTTCACCTGCTTGGAAATGTTCTCTGCTGAGCTGTTGCATTCACATGGCACACGTATATAAATGCCAGGCATTAATCCATTTCAGAGTTCTGAACAGTGCTGAAATAAAAAGATTTGTGCTTTTTCTTTTAAAAAGAGGAATAACTCTAGCTTGCCCTTCATCCATCTGCTGAACAGCTGGTGACGTATGTGCCTGAGACAGCACTGCCATCATTACTTCCATTGCTATCTGATGCCTCCCAGCTAAAACCAAAACAGTTCTTGCCACTTTCAATATAACAAGGGCTAGTGACCCATTCCAAGGTGTACACAGACAGTGGTACCTTCCCCCATTTCCTTCATGGTATTTTAAGACTCTTTCACATGTTGATTTTGTCTCTACATACCTTGAAATAAAGGCTTTAAACAACTTTGCAAAAGGATCTTAGAGACAATCTGGTGTGTTCCTCAAAATAACTGGTGTTGCATAAGTTCCCACTTCCATATCAGGCAGTTTTCTCTAAAGATACATAACTGATGGTATTTGTTCCAGGCTTTTTCTACCGTGGGTACTCCAGATTACATTGCCCCTGAAGTTTTCATGCAGACTGGATACAACAAGCTTTGTGACTGGTGGTCACTTGGCGTCATCATGTACGAGATGTTGATCGGTAAGAAACTGGCAGTGTGCAAGGTTTAAGCAGGAACTGTGGTGTAGGACATCAGCTGTATTTATGTGCTTGGGGTTAGGTTCTCAAAGCATCCACTCCCTGCCTGGTTTGAGAGGTGTGTTCTGGTGCAGTGTAGACTTCAGTAACTACAGGATTTTTGCTTTATACAAGATTGTATTTTTCGTTCTTTTCAGGTTATCCACCGTTCTGTTCTGAGACTCCTCAAGAAACATATAAGAAAGTAATGAATTGGAAAGAGACTCTGACGTTTCCTCCAGAAGTTCCAATATCCGATAAAGCAAAGGATCTTATTTTAAGGTGCCAGCCATATGGTTTGCCAGTTAATATCATACTTGCAAACTGTCCTGTGTATCTCTCCTAGCTTGCTTCACATGAAAAAAAAAACCCTGATGCTTGTGACAGCTACATATTCTGTTATGCACATGCATCAAGTGCTGAACTCTCTAGTCAAATACATTTGTCTCAGAGGTCATTTGGTGGAGCCCTGACAGAACTATGCTGAAAAGGAGCTCCCACGTAAGTGCTGCTAGTCTGGCAAAATACAAATGTTTCTGCTTTTTATTTTGTCTGAGCTTCCTGGGGAAGCAGCTTAATCTTTTTGCCAGAGCTGGCTTCTTACAATAGCAGTGGCTTTGATGTTGTATGCACTGGAGCATACAAATGCATCCCAGTGCATGCTGACTCTTGCTCTTTCATTTATATTTTCAATCACTTATCTATTCTCAGGACAGAAATATAAATGTCTAGCTTTTTAGGCTTTTTATGTTCTCCTGCTCTACACTGGTCCTCAAATAGAAAGGGCACATTATCTTGTTGTGAAAGAATACCACATCTTAATTATAGCATTTGACATGACATTCCTAAGCATAGCTTTGTGTGCTGGCTTTGCAGTGGGAGTTCTTAACCTTCTCCATTTATATGTTAAGCAACCGTAGTAGTATCAGTTCAGAAAGCCATTCCACTTCTGCATGGAATGCTTTCGTTTTCATTCTTCCTTCATTTTCATTCTTCCTTCCATCCCAGATTTTGCTGTGAATGGGAGCACAGAATTGGTGCATCTGGTGTGGAGGAAATAAAGAGTAACCCATTCTTTGAAGGGGTTGATTGGGAGCATATCAGGTAAGATGCTTTGCAGAAAAGCAAGCTGCTCTTCTCTGTGTACTGCTTAAAGGTAGTCCTGTTCAACAGAAGGGAGCAGCTTGACTGGCATTTACCACATCAGTGTGTGGGCAGAGTATTTTGTTCCTTATCTGAAGCTTGCTAAGGTTTGGGTACCTTCAGTCTTTAATACTGTTAAGAAATGGAAAGTGGCTGAATCCTGCTTTCGTCTGCCTTTGAAATAATGCTGAAACTGCTCTTCTTGGCAGAGAGAGACCTGCTGCAATTTCAATAGAAATTAAAAGCATTGATGATACCTCAAACTTTGACGAATTCCCAGAATCTGATATCCTTAAACCAACAGGTAAATGCTTTGATTCTGCATGTAGACAATCCTTCCTCTTCTCCAGCAGAATAATGTAACTTCTCTGTTAATCAGAGAAAGGATCGTACTAGATGCTAGGGGGTTCTTTAATCATGATCAAATGGTCATCTAGTAGGCTTGTGGTGCAGGGGTGTGCAAGCTCTAGTTTGGGTTTCAGGAGATGGGATGCAGACTTGAAAGTGATGCCGGAGCTGTCTGAGAAAGGGCATCTCTGAGAGGCAGCAGAGCTCCCAGCAAGTTCAAATCTCAGCAGGGCCTGTGAGCCCAACGCCGGGAGTACCCCTTGGCACTGGCTAGTTCTTGCTAGAGTGTCTAACGCTTCGTGGAGAGGGTGGGACAGAAGGGGGCAATATGTTTGGGTGTAAATCTCTAAAGGATCTGTGTTTATGTGTCAAAACATAGTGACACGTTTGCTCTGTGTGTTTAAAAAAAAAAAAAAAAAGGTTACAGCAGTTCTTGACTGGGGCTGAAGAATGAAGCTGAATGCTTAGATTTATATTTCTTTCTTTAGAAGCATTCTCCCCTGCTCCACATCCAAGGTTTTGTACGAAAATAAACTTTGCAGACATCAAAGGGTAATTTTATTTTGTTATGTCTTACTAGTGGCAACAAGCAACCATCCAGAGACTGACTACAAGAACAAAGACTGGGTTTTTATCAATTACACCTACAAGCGTTTTGAAGGTCTGACAGCCCGAGGAGCAATACCATCCTATATGAAAGCAGGAAAGTAATAAATCTTTACCTGGGACGACTTCTGAGCTGTGGAATTCTGTTCCTGTACTTTGGGTTTATACCCATAAAAGAACTTTTTCTTTTCTTAAAGAAAACTTGAGGGCTGTCAACTCTTGGAGAAGACTTCAGGACCCTGTTTCGTTACACACTCTGGTTGTTACTGAGGATTTTTTCTTTTTGCGCCATTGAAAAATTCCACAAAATGTTTGCGTCATCTCTGCTGCAAGCATGTTTTGCTGCTTCAGGAACAAGAGTTTCAGTTTTCTTCTTAAATTCTTTGCCAGATTGTACAGTCTAGCAGGAGATGAGAGCAAGCCTTCACTTTGACGTTGCAAAGCACGTGATGTTTATAGGGACTGTTCTGCCAGTCCTGCATTAAGTGACAAACTCAATCTGCCAACTCTGCCAGCGCTGTGCTCCCAGTGGCTAAGGACTTCAGTACAGAGGAAACAAAGCAATAATTAAAGCTTGAGATAGACAACTCTCCAGTGAGCTATCTAGTAGAAGGACACAACTCGTATTGCCTTAACCTTAGTTTGTAGTGCTGTTTTTTATAATGCTACTTGGAAGCCCCTTTAATAGCATTTCTCAACTCTGTTACAGTGGCCTCCAGTTGCAGTGCACTTTACTTTTGGTACTAAGACAGTGACCCTCAAGCCATTTAATATTTTGTTTCTAAATTTTTTTTTTTCTTTTTTCCTAGACAGTGATAAGAGAAACGGGCCACTTCTTCCACCAAGCGCCAAGTTCTCAGTGGCTGTATGAAAGGCTGGATCTACAAACAATGCAGATAAAAACCACAGCTGGTAACACAAGTTAATCTGAAATTAGGGCAGAGAGGGAGGGAAATTCATTTAACCTGATCCTTGGTGGACACCTTGTGTACAGCTGGGTCAGCCCTGAGGCTTCCCGGTCCTGCTGCTGCCATCTTTTGGCCACTTTTAATATTTGCTGCATGTTCATCGGTTTAAAGACAAAAACCATCTCAGGGCTGGACCATCTGTCCCTGTAGTCTTCCAAAACAGACAGTGCCTCGTGGGGTCACTTTTGGGGCAGCGGAACCCACCATGTCCACACTTTGATTATTGCCTAGTGTAATTTATAAAAATACATTCAGTTACGATGAAGGCTGCTCTCCAGGAGAGCCCCAAAGTGCCTTTCCTTGCCTAAGCATCTCTCGGAGCATGGCTGCATTTTGGGAAGGAGGATTCAGCCTCACCTGAGCTCTTGCTAATTCCTTTTTTTTATAAGCATGAGCTCCACTTTGCACCTGTTTTGTAGTTAACTCTGCACTTTCAGGGGCAGGTGGTGTTAACCTTGGGCCTGCCTGGGTCCAGTCTACAATTTGCAATTTTTTTTTTTTTCTTTAAATTGAATGAGGTTTCTAAAGATATGTATCAATTTGAACTGTCTTGGATTCTTGCAAACTTCTATTGGTGCTGAACACTAACTGCCTAGCACAGACAAAACCCTAGCAGTTTAGAAACAAAGCTAGAGCAGTGTTTCAAAGTAAAAGGAAGGCTTTCAGGTATATTTAGTCATAACTTTCTAGATTAGGAAATGAAAGAAAATGGGTTTGTAGTGAAACTTTTTTTAATAGGTGCTTTTAGGGAATTTTTACTTGGATGTCTTTTGAATTGAGTGCCATCATGAAGGACTGATTGGGGTGTCAAAAGTACTGTTTATAGCTAAAATTGGGTGATAACTCGTTAGCATCCTTTCCCTGATCACCCCTTGTGCATTTTATATGTGTCCTAGGAGTTCAATGAATTGCCATAAGCAGTTTAGATACCAGTTGGATCCTACAAAGCTGAAATGCAAAACTAGCCTTAATTAGAAGTACCAGGATCACTGTAGTCAGTAGGGCTTACGCAGATGAATAAGGGCTAACTGAAGTGATGTTTTATAGGATCAGGCTTTTTATCAACTAGTCAGCAATATCACCTTCTGCTCCTTTTTTATGAAGGACTGATACAAACTTCTCAAATTGCTCCATCTCCTTATCCTGCAGTTTATTCTAGCCATTTGAAAATGTTGCCTTATAAACTATTGGAAAACTTAGAGGTATTAATATCAAAACATTTTTTTTTAAATTCCTAACAGCTTAGTTACTGCCTTAAAATAAATAAATAAAAAAAACCATCAAGAGCTGCTGTGGATTAGGAATAAATGATTTTGACATAGTAGCTGCGTTATGAGCCCTTTACTAAAAGGGACTGGTGTTTTTATTTATAAATACCAAAGATGAAGCTAAACAATTATAAGTTGTGTTATCTTGCTGTGAAAAAAACCCCTATATAGTAATATGTATTGTGCATTTTTAGTGCATGTGTTTTAAAGTCTTCTGAAACCTCAGATTGTTCACTTCGAGTTAAAGGTGAAGTTTTTCAAAGGCAGAAGGAGCAGTTGGGTACCTCACTCCTCTTCCTTCAGTAGAAGTTGTGTGTCTTTGGTTAAGTCCTCTTGGACACACCTTTCCAGCGGTTGCATTGGAAGCCTGCTTCCTATTACAGTTGTTCACTAATACTAGGAAAACAAAGTACAGTGTCTTCTTTCCAGGATCCATACTTCACTGCTAACAGTTTAAGACTTTTTGTATGCCGGTTCCATCTCCCATGTCAGCCAAACATTTTTCTTAGCTGCTGGCTTGTGTATTGAGGTTGGATGTAGCTTTTAGCTCTTTTTTTTTTTTAAGTTGCAAGCAGTTGCTGGACTTCCAGGAGTAATTCCAATTTGCATTTCCAATGGATCTGAACATGAATTATGTTGCCAGTTCATCTCTGTATCATGCCTAGCACAAAACTGCACTAAGTGTTTCTTATCACTGTGCCCTGACTCTGCCTTAACCTGTAAGCTGAAAAAGTGTTCTGTAAATATTTAAAAGCTGTTACTAAATTGCACTGTAAAATTTGGCAGGTGTATTTGTGTGTTGCTGAGGGAGCCAACTTTTTATGGAATGATCTTTGCATTGTGTTGTGTAAATAAAATCCTCTTAGTAAACACATTTTTACTAGCATGTTTTGTTTTTACAAACTGGAATCTGTCAGGTTCATTTTTTTCAGACTCATTTTAGAATCAATTGCTTGGGTAGAAGAATGCACTGGTAACTCAGGTGCTGGACTGTGCTTCTAAAAGGTGCACAGCAGACAAGAAGAGATGTACACCCTATTAAAGGTGAAAGACAGTGCTGATCTTTAGAAGAATTAAACCTTTCTGGCAGGGTGTGCCTGGCCTCCTAGCAAGGGTGGATGACCCTGGCCTGGCTGAGGAATCTGTATTGTGTAACTGTCACTTCAGTTGACCAACTTCAAGACAAGTTGGTTTTAATCTTTTTCTGTTTTTAAAAGAGCAGTGAGAAAGTGGCATTAGAAGCAAAGCTATGACCCTTCATTTTTTTACTACCAGGTTATAGCATGCCAAAATCAACCTGCAGTTCTTATTTCACAGCTTTAGATTTGTGACAGCTCCACTAGGGAGTACAAGTTTCTGTTATCACTTTAATGGAATTACTGAATTCCACCTTGTCCAACCTCTTAACACCTTTCCCAAGCTTCATGATGAAAACCCCTGAAATACATCCAACACTGAAGATAGAAATAAAAGCCAGACCTGTTCCAAAGCTGTTTTCTTCTAAAGTAGGTATAAGCAGAGAGCATCGTTCACAGCATGCTAACCAAAAATAGCACCAGGGCCTGTTAGAGATGCTGCACAGTTTGTGGGTTGTGTGGCCTCATACCTGTACTATGTGCTGCTTTTGGAACATCACTGCAATGAATTGGTAAACTCTGAGGTCCTTTCAGCATAAATGTTTGTAACACTTCTGTGCAGCTGCTGCACAGGGTCCCTGCCAAATCAACCAGGCTCTGTCTGATGCACAAAGCCTTTGGGGTATCAAGCCACACTTACTTTATGAAGCAAGGAAAGAAAACCACCCAGGAGTTCCTGCCCATTCTTCTATTCCACATTTAAAACAATTCTTGAAAGAGCCAAACAAGCCATATATAATTTATACTTTAATACAGAAAAGAAACCATACATCTGTAGTTCATACACACCACAGGTAACACTTCAGTATATCTAGAATAAGACAAAACTTGACGTTGTACCTGAAGTAGGTGACCATGACAGAAGGAGGACAAGCAAACGCATATTTCTTCAATTTGATTTCGTGTTCCAGTGGAACTCGCTCTACTAAAAAAAGTAAAATCCAAAATTCATCTTTAATTACTTGGGAAAGCCAATATACTACAGCAGGCTTCCTGGAGTGGTAAAAGCTGCATGGATATCCTGGAAGCTGGATACATCCATCCATCCCTCCCATGCTGAACGTCCAGTTGATTACAGAGTACCAGCAAGCTCCTACGAGGCACCAACAGTCTTTAACCCTCAGCAGCCGCTGGCTGCAGTTAAGTGCCCGAGGCCACCACTGCTAATGAACTGGCTGAAGCCTTCAAGAGGCCTAGCTAACAGCCAGCTCAGGGGCAGGCACTGGTGGGGTCTGGTTTGGCTGAATATGGTACTTGGCTGTCAGATCCCGTGAGGTGCCCTCGGTGTCAGATGCTCGGCCTTTGGTGCCCTGACAGTCCTGCGGGGTAGCGCCCAACACCGCACACGCTGCAGGTCCTAAGAGCAGGACGTGTAAACTCCAACTCCCAAGTCAGCTGGTCAATACCAATACACATTTACTTAAAACTTACACTGCTGTAAAAATAAATACACATTAAAAAAAGATATCCGTAGGGCCTGAGGGCAAGCCTCATCATTGCTGGGGGGACAGTCTCATCAGTGCCTTTGCATGATTTGTGGGAACAGCTCGTTACCAAGGCAGGTAATGGGTTTGGTCTGGCCCTTAGCTGGAAGGTTAATGGTCCATATGTCTTCCTTTCTCTACTACAAAAATAGAAATTAATCTAGAGCAATAAAGGAAAGTGATTGCACACCACCTCTGCGCAGAATACTGAAGGACACTTCTCTATACTGACACACAGGGAGGATTTTTCAAAAGCAGTCAGGTGGACCTGGGCAGCTCAGGAGATCCTGAAGCACTCTTGGAAATCTTCCCATAGGCACTTACAAAAATAAGAAATCTATTTGCTGCACTTAGGAAAGGAGCCAAGAACAGAAAAACTGCAAAGAATAGAACCTGTATCCATAAAAATAGGAACTAAATATATCAGCAAGTATATGCCTTGGCAGAGATTTTGTTACTCGTAACTAAAATGACACTCATAAACCTTCAGGAAATTTTGTGCTTGATAGTGTCACCTTACTTACCCTGAAAAAAACAACCATCCTTAGCAGCAAACAGTAACAGTAATCTCCAATGCTAAGTCTACCAGACAGATGGAGAATAATAAAAATTTGCTTGATGATGGAACCCTGACAACAAAGGATTAAACCTTCTAGGGGCAGACTGATATGTACCTTTATTTTGCCAAGTATGACCAGGTAACTCAATGCATAAGTGGTACAAGTTTCAACAGCAGTCAACTGCAAGAGCAGAACTGATCAGAACTTAACGACACTGCAAGGGAGATCTCTCCCTTTCTTTCTGAAGGGGTTTCAGCTTTCCTTTGCACCAGCACCATGTTTAAGTACTCCACTTTGGGTACTTAAAAACTCTACACAGCCATCAGGAATGATGGCTTCGTAAGGCAGGCCCGTTCTGGTTGATGTGCAGCTCGGCTGTGGCAGTACTGAGCTCACTCTGAGCTAATCAGGGGGTTAAGCAAACCTACAGGTAACCACGCTGCAAGAACAGGACAAGCCAGGCTCTAACACAACTGAGCTAAACCAGCCCGGAGTGTGTTTATACAAGTCACAGCTTTGTTGGCCCTGAATCCAAAACGAACAGAGCCTTAACCACAGACGAGGATAATATATTCAGAGCAGCAAAGGAAAGTTGTTCCCAGGTACATGTATTTTTTCTCTACTGAAGGCTGGTTTACTACTGATACTTCTCACCTGCCTGACGGGAAAATGGTCCAGTCAGTTCCAAACTGGGAAGAAAGCAGCTGGCCTTTTAAAGCTGCAACAGTAGAGTGCTCTGTGGAGAGTCTACAGGAATTTTGACTGACTAAGGTTGATGAGACCAAGGATTTTACTCAGGTAGTAAACTGTCTGTACTTGGAGCATCTCCGCTGGCTTTTTTGTCTTAGCAGGGGGATGGAAGAGACAACTGAAAGTCTTTAGGGTGCACAGTCACCTCCAGAAAGCTTCTTTCATCTACTAGGCTACTAAACAGATTTACTTTGTTGGTAAAATATCAACTAGAGTCTCTTCTTTTTTGCCTTTTCCTTCAACGTGATCTACTCATTCTACTGAACGTAACAGACAACATCCCTGAAAACAGTAATTCCACCTTATGAAGAAATATATATGGGAAATTCCTGTGAACAGGCAAATGCTTCCTATTGAACTAGTTCATCCTTCCCTAGAACAGCAGTACAACGTGCTGGATGCAAAGCCAGGTGGCAGTGTAAACAGATTCCTCCACACTCAGGATTTTGCTGTCATTCTTCCACACTCAGTATTTTGCTGTCACAACTGTGCTACATTTCTGCTGGTTGATGAAAGAGTATCATCTGTCCTGCTTTGATGTTCGGTCCTTTGTAACCGATTATCACAAAAGCAAAGCTAAGTGCCTAACGGTAAAAGAAAGCTTTGTCTTGACAGGCCCAGAATTTCCTCTGATGTCAAACAAGATGTTCCTTAATACTTCTGCTTCTCCTTTAGAAGTTTAGGTAAAATATTCACCCACCATTCTGGAAGCCTTTGTAGCAGAAGCAAACAGCATAATTTCTTTTTGTTTGAGGAGACATTGCTTTTGATTGCACAATTAAGACTATGGAGTGTGGCTCTTTATTAACATGCTTGAAACATGACAATGTAGTAAGAGCATCAACGAGGATAAAGCACCTTGCAGGAGTCTGTGTTCTATCACTTGGGATGAAACTATGCTGAGATGTTCCCACATCAAGCAGGACTATCTACCCTGAGCCACAACTAATCTGGTAGATCATTAACAGCCATTTGGGAGAACGGTGCGTTTAGCCTGTCGAGTTCATCTACTTGTGGAGGGTGATGCATTATAACCTCATGGTCTTCTGAAACGTCATCCCCCACAGTGACGAGGTTTGTTAGAGATTTGCTCCGAACACACTGGAAATCAACGTGACGGCTTTTGCCCTCTTCCTTTTCCCATGACATCTGGATGAATGGCCGTTGAACGTAGTTGTATATCACTTCTGACCGGCCACCGGGCCTCCTCTTCACCTTCTCTTTACAGGTGGGATAGCCTGAAAACACAGACAGCCAGTCAGCTGCACTACACACCTCTGACTTGCACAAAGGGACAACAGGATCCCAGAAGAACAGTCAGGTAGGAGTGACTACGGGGTCGGGGGGACTTAGCAGACAAATGCTCACATTCCACATTTACCATTATTGGCTTGCAAAAGACTGTTCTCTTTTCCCCTGAAAAGAGGGTGAAGCATTGTGTGTAGTCATACAGTCAATGGCTGCACAGATTAGCCATTTTGTGAGCAAATATAACTACTATAACAATAAGACAGTCTCCCAGGACAGAGCACAACATTCTCTAAGCTCCTTAAGGGAATGCTTGGATCAGCAGACAGAAGCATCTGACTCCTGTTTACTTGATCATAAAGAGACAAGGCTTGCTGGTACATGCCACGTGTCTCACTTTCCTTTAACTTTTAAGCCTCCTGGCCAATTTCAGTGTAACACAACAGAGGTGAAGGAACATGCCCAGCTTCTACTAGTTACATGAAAATAAATGCTTACTAAAACAGAGCAAAACAGGAAATGCCTAGAGTCAAGAGGAAACCAGGCTTTACCGACCGTGGAGCCACCTGTTTTAGAATTTCCTTTGTTGAAAAAGTATTTTACCTTCAATGCCAATGCGAATATTTTTCAGGCCCCGTTCCTTTAATACAGCTTTTGCAACATCGCGGTTCTCAATGTACTTGAAGAATCTGTACA